AGAGAGAGAGAGAGAGAGAGAGAGAGAGAGAGAGAGAGAGAGAGAGAGAGAGAGAGAGAGAGAGAGAGAGAGAGAGAGAGAGAGAGAGTTGTGTTTTTGGTTCCTTGAATCCTTGTCGATGCCAAATAGCTAAAGATGGTATGCTGCTGCTACTCATTGCTGCCTGCAATTGCTGTGTGCAGATTGGTTGATTTCTATATACATCAGGATCAGTCTGCAGATAAATTCGGCTGTTGTTTCTCCCGTCCTGGCTTATGATGCATGATGCCTTGTAGTTGAGAGGGTAAGAAGCGATTGAGGGACAATTTTAGTCTGCCGATTGGAGGAGTGGCCCCTAATTTAAGAAAGGCAACAACTCTCCTTTGTTGTTATTTGTTTCTTTGATGACTGGAAGTTCTTCCAAGGTATGAAAAGCTGGAGGACTTTGTACCATCCATTCAAGTGTGGTTGAATTTGGCTCAACTGCCCAAGGCGCTTGCGGAGCGCGCATTTCACTGGTTAAAGTGAAAAATAAACAACCACAAAAACAACTACACCAGGTGCGTGAGGACAACCAGCCTAGGCATGTAGACAGCCAAGGTGAGTGGGAGCAGGATCCCGCCTCCGTTGCCTGTTGTCAAGAAGGTACGTAGCCTTCCCTACCCTTCGCATATGCGGTGGTAAAATCAGATGCCCTTTTGAGTTCCAGCTGTTGTGCCAGTGAGTCGATACTGAACCCCGCTCCTCTTAGGCACAGGGGTCACAAGGTACGTAGCAAGGTACGTAGCCTTCCCTACGTACCCTTCGTGTATGGCCCACAAAATTCATTTCAGTCCCAACCAGTAGCGGAGCTTAGCACCTTGTACACCGACGTAAGTGGAGAGGCCTGGAGCAGGATTGCATGGCTCTCAAGTTTGCACCATTCCGGTAGGCGATGCACGCTGGTGTAGGGGAAAAGACGTAACATTGTCAGCAACAATTAGGTGTACAGCATGTACGGTTGGTTCAACAATGTCTGTCAAGGTGGCAGTGTGCACGCCGCGGCTGAACATACATGCCGCGAACGAATAGTTCCGTGGAAAGCATGTACACGTACGGTCCAGCAATGCCCCTTGAGGCCGCGTTCTGCAAGTTGCTTGCTGAAGTTATGTGCAGTGATCAGGCATAAGTTGGTAATGTGGCAAATCAGGAAGAAGATATTTAAAGAAATGAATGAAAGAATGGGCGGAAAGTTAAACCGGGATCCCGGATCGGTTGCGCGATCCTCTTTGGCTCGATGTCTAAAAGGATGCTTACTGAGTTGTAATGATTTTGTCCTTAGGCTAGAACCTGAGTTCAGGGCATCTTGGGCTGTTGTTAATCTGAAAGTCTTTTGAGCCACCTGGGGTCCTGGACTTAAATCAACTGTGCACTGCCGGTAGGTAGTACATTCAGTCTTCTCTCACTTGTGAAAGAAAAAGAGGAGAGGTGGGGAATGTCAGAGATTTGTTAGCACTCAACATTCTGGAACTGGTCAAGACGCGCGCCGTCTCAGCCCCATGGATTTAAGAGATCTACCGGTAGGTGTGTACCATTCGGATGCTGTAAACAAGGCAGTTCACATTTTTTTCAGGGATGCATTGCCCGGCTGTGGGGCTACTTTGTGGCCCTATAGCCTGTAGTGCCGGTTTGGCAAAGTAGGAGTGAAAGTAGGGGTAGTTTAAACCACCGCTACGTCCGAGGCTGTTTTTACGGATCCAAACTCATGCTGCATGCCCAAAAACAATGAAGTGCGGCGGGCAGTATTTGGCTGGCAGCACCAGCCACTTTGGTTCGGTAGCACAAAGTGCGGGCTGCATGCCCAAAAACAATGAAGTGTGGCGGGCAGTATTTGGATGTCAGGGATGTATACATTTACACTTTTTCTTTTGCCAGGGGCACAAAGTGGTGGTTTAAGATCGAGGGTCGAACTCCTCATCTACTGTGCAGCCCATCTCTGTTCGGCCTAGGTTCGCCATCTACGTGCTTACCCGCCGGCGAACACCATCTTTCTTATTATGTACGGTGTGCGTTAATTGAAATAGAATAGAAATGGGGCCACAGTTTATTTAAATAAACAGGCCTCTGGAGGACTACAGCGATAGATAGATCGCTGTAGTCTGCTCGCTCTGGGTGGTGTAGAACCTTCAAGGCTTCCATAGACGACGCGTTGCACGGTGACGCGTGCGGCAGTCTATCGGTATATGGTTATCTTCAGATAGCCATTGTACTCCCCTGAACAGATTAACGGGTAATGAATGCTGTATTTAGACTGGAAATTGTGCTTGATACGTGTTTAATGACCCTTCATTCTATCCGCAGGAAGTTAGGTGGCTTTGGGACATGCTGAATGTGACTGTGCGTCAGTACATATGAGCATGGGCTTGCTATCAGGAGGAAGCATTTCTTAGAAGAGGCATAGATAGTGCGGTTAGCAAACCTATACACCACCATTGTCCCCTGAACAGAATGCACCCTCGTTATGACCCCACCATATATGAGCAAGCCCATGCTAACCGCATATTGCTAACCGCATATTGCTTACGGCATATTGCCTAGCACCATCTCTTACATATGAGCATGAAGCCTATGAAGAGATGGTGCTAGGCAATATGCGGTTAGCAAACCTATACACCACCATTGTCCCCTGAACAGAATGCACCCTCGTTATGACCNATGAAGCCTATGAAGAGATGGTGCTAGGCAATATGCGGTTAGCAAACCTATACACCACCATTGTCCCCTGAACAGAATGCACCCTCGTTATGACCGTATCAAACCGGAAAATTAGGTTGTATGCATTCATTATAAGGGTGTGCAGCGTTTGGAGATTGGCGGTAGCCTGTAGGGGAGGATATTGTAGCAGACTACACCTGGCTGGCCCAGTTATGCCTGGTTCTTCGAAGCTGACAGAAGGGCCAAAGTTCCCCATGTTCCAACTAACTAAAAATTAGTAAGGCCAAATTCTACCTTGAGCATCGGTACAAGCAAAAGAATCAAACAAGAATAGAATTTCATCCCCACAGCACCTGGTGACTGTGCTGCACTTGCCTCCCGACCGGGTGCCTCGGGGATGCAGGACCCTGAGTTCCAGGGGGGTGCGCCCTGGCGCAGCGGCCTGGTAGCTCTGGGCCAGGCTGATACTCCCGGGTGTGTGTTGCAAGGTCTCTCTGAGTGATTCCTGAGTGAGTGGGTGGGTGCGCTGTGCCGACCGGTGGGCTGAACCCGA